TTGCCGTGTTGTACTGTGGTGGTGAGGACTAACGCTGTTGAGATGGGTCCGCACAAGTCTATACAGGGGTGTAAGGCACTCAGAGTCTGCAGACCCCTTATACCTGTGCCTAGCAAAGGAGCTGTGCGGACCCTACGTTCCTGGCATAGGTGAGCCAGTAGCTTATTTGTTCCCTCTCCAAGGCCAGGAGAATGAGTCAGGGCACCTTTTGGGATCTACTTCCGGCCCAGCGGACTCCCAGTGCAGAGCGCGGAGGGAGGTGGTAAAAGGGAGAGAAGTTTTTCCCAAACGGCCTTTTTTTTTTTTTTTTAATCCCCGTGAAAGGCCGCACGCATGTATTTATCTTAGCCACTTGGGAGCTGCATTTCACTGGTTCGGAGTGTTCAACCGAACCTCTGCTGCCGGTCTCTCTCGATGTGGAAACTGCTTCCTGACCATGCACACAGCACAGCTGTTTGCCTGCTTGGCTTCCGACAGTTGTGGCTGCAGAGCTGCAGTTTCGCTGCTGCAGTTCTGGCACTCTTCACATCTTCCAAACCGTCTCCCTCTCCCCCCACCGATCACTCAGTCCTATTTCTCAGCTTTGCCTTGTTCAGGCCTCCTAGATTTTCATATAGAATCAAATCACGTGGTTTTCCAGGTCTTTGTTGTAAGAGGGATATAGGAAGTGTCTAACTATACTGCCATCTTGGCCACACCTCCTAAAATTATTTCAATGAAGAATTCTTAATGTAAATGCACTAGATCAATCTGGATTCAATTGAAAGCAATACTGTAATAAGCAGAACATTTCTCTCAAATCTTTGCTGCCAATGATACGATCGATTTTCAATAAAAAATTATTAAGTAGACTGTGAGTAGATAAATGTATAATTTTTCAATAATATTAATGTAACTAAGCAACAAAAATGTTAATATTTGAAGTTATTGAAAGACATACATTAAGAAGTATCCCAAAATGTGGCTCACTGAAATATGTGATGCTTTTAGCCAGGGGGCATGGCAAGGAAGTATGTTATCAGAGGAAGAGAGAACTTTAGGGTTGGCATGACAGCAACAGATCCATGGGAAGTCCTTATGAAAGCCACCCATTCACATTTAGTCTCTACTATAGTTCAGGACGACACCTTAACACTCCAGGACAATGATTTTTAAAAAGCAGGGATGGGCACATTATGGAATTATATCATGGATTTTTCACGTAACTGCTCCTAGAAGATCAGTACCCGAGGGAAGCAGGTACTGATACAAATAATTAATGATGGATATTTCATACTTTGGTTTATTTTCAGGTTTAAAACCAGTTAGCATTGAGTTAATTCCAACTTATGGAGACTCTGTTTGTATCAGAGTAGAACTGTGCCTCACAGAGTTCTTAATGTCTGATTTTTTTCAGAAGTAGATCGCTAGGCCTTTCTTCTGAGGCTTCTCTGGGTGAACTTGAACCACCAACCTTTGGATTAGCAGCAAAGTGCATTAACTGTTTACACCACCCAGGAGCTCCCATTTTCAGGTTTAGGAGGATATAAAGCTATATTTTGAGTCCAGGAGCACAGAAATGGTCCCAGAACAGTTACCACATCCACCCCATAATCCACTTTTTCTTTTGAGAAACTCAAATTCCCTGACCTGAATGAATTTTTAAGGTATAGCAGGAGGTAGTGTTTTTAGAAGAATTCAAATTAAGTAGTAGAATGTCCAAGCAGCCAATTTAGAAGTAACCTTGGACTTCCACATATGACTCCTTCACAACCTCTCTTAATGACTTAGTTTATACAACTAAAAATTCCAAAATAAAACACCTTCCACCATTAACCACCTAAGCTCGTCATGTGCAAGGCACAGAGGGCAACTGCAGGCCACGCTACCAACCCTGAGCCAGCCATCTGACAGTTACTTGAAATCAGCCGTCAAGGTAGCTGAATTTCTGAAAATGAATGATAAATGGAAGAATATAATTTACTAGGAAAGAGTATTTACTTTTATCTAAAGTTTAAGCACTTTAATATGCCTCCCAAGAGAGTGCTTATTCAGGATATTCCGTAAGAAAATTCTAGCAAGAACAAAAACTACAGACAGGTTGGAAATTTTTTGCTGACATGAAAGCCAGAAAAAAAAAAATTCACATATTTTGAAAAGCAATTTGGAAATGTATCTCTGTAAGTTACAGTCATTCTTTCTGAGTGTGACTAATGTTGTCCAGCTATGATTGATGAGAAAAATGTGAAATGAAAGACAATCCACATGAGTTTAAATATTATGCCTCTAATAAATCCTACAATCTGAACATGAAAAAAGAATTTTTACCTTTATGAGCAGAAAAAGAAAAAAAAATGAGATTACCTTCACCAGAATAAATGTTAAATTCATGTTTCAAGACTATGGATTTGAAGGAGCCCTAGCCTTTTAGTCTATTTGGGGTACTCACAGTCTTGGTTTGCCCCTCGCTTACAGACATAGAATAAAATCAAGTATACAATGGTCTCGTATAGTCATTAGTAATTGTGATAGATAAGGAAAGATTTAGGGAAATATTGAGATTTGAGTTTACTCTTAAAAGAAGTTTAGGAATTGAATTAGCAAAGAAAAAAAGAATGGAGAACGTGGAGAAAGAATGTTGACTTGTTTTCTGAGACTTAATTTGTGTATTTGTGAAATGCTTTTGTATTAGTTAAATGTATTTTGAGTTCAATAAATCACACATATGGCTGTAAACAATGCTCTCTCACATTTCAAAAATCACCAACTGGCATTTTTAATTTTTAAAGGATTACGTAGTAGGAAGACAGAGACTAATGGCTATCATTTTTATTCCTCTGGGTTCTTCACCAAGACATCTGGCAACTTCCATGACTAAGCTATTTGAACAGTCTACTGAACCATGATTTAGTACATTAACTGAAGGAACCTCAAATCCATTACAGGGAAGGTAAGTCACCTTTGTAAGTCAAGGATTCTCATAAATTATTTTCATTATAGATTAATGGCCTGTGAAGATTCAAATCTTTCAAAGAGTTGAATGTGTTGTGTTCTGTGTACTATGGTGCAGTTAGGAAATTACAAGTTGTTTTAAAGCTTCAGTCATTTAGAGGAAATCATTTCAGACTCCATCAAATTACCCTTTAAGTCTTTTTCTGCCCAGATATTTCATGGGCATCAACTGTAGAACAGCATTCATTTTCCTTATAAATATCATGAATGGTGAATATTTCATACTTTGGTCTATTTTCAGGTTTGGCAGGATATAAATATCCATTTATAGTATTATAATAATAAACTACCTTTTTAACACTTGCCATATCCCAGTGCTAAATGCCTTTACACACTTTAATTTAGCATTCTTCAGAACCCTGTGAGGAAAATGAGAAAACCAAGGCACAGAAAGTGCAAAAACTCACCCAAAGTTAACACGACTGATAAGCAAGGAATCAGAATTGAAAGTAGGACTTGTTTGATCAAAATCTGCATTTTTAATCTCTTCTCCATTGTTGTTGTTGTTAAGTGCTGTCCAGTCAATTTCAAGTCCTAGCAATTAAGTGGGTGTAATAACTTTCCAAAAGTCGCATGGAAGGTATATTAACCAAGATGTTTTATTTCAAGACAGAACACAGGTCAAAATAGTTTAATAAATGAAAAACAAAGAAAAATGTATTGGCAGGATATAGGCATGGCTCACAAAAAAAAAAAACCCCTTCTTATATGTTTTAAAGGCATCTAACTTCATGATTCACTACAGTCTTAAGATAACAAAAATTAGGCAAAGACATCACAAAAAAAAAAAAAAAAAAAAGCTAGAGAAACCATAGCTGTTTCAGAGGTCAGGGATTGGAATGAGGATCTAATCAACTTCTCTTGTCTTCTCTTCTCTCTCTTCCCCTTTCCCTTCCTTTCTCTTCTCCTTTTCTCTCTCTTTCTTAAAAAATCTAATGACTGTCTATATTATGGTAGACCCAGAAATTTTACACATACTATTTTTTGTCTTTGCAAAAATTCTCTGTATAGCTACCAGTATTCCTTTTGACAGCTCTGATAACTAAGGCAGAGTAAGTGAACTGATTTGCCCAAGATGAGTGGCTGATGGGTTGTAGAGGGACGTTTAGAGCCTAGCCCTCCCAAACCCTTGTTCAGTGCTCTGCTAATCTACTTGTGTTTCATAAAGCTATGTTTTATCAACACTCCTAGAAGAATTAAAACTTTTTTTAAGACGCTGTCATTCTTTTCTTTAGAGATTACAACACACATACAATAAGTGAATTTTATCAAAATACAGCACATTTCTTCTACTAAATCCATAAAAATCAATTCCTATGTAACTAGTGCTGAAAATCAACTAAAATGAGTTAAAATTTACAAAGAGTCATTAAAGGGTTTCAGTTGAAATTATTAAAACTGCACACTACAATAAGCAATTGATAACATCTTGAAAGAAGTGCAATGTTTGAGTTAACGTATTTTAAAAAGTACTGCCTATTTACTCTGAGGGAGCCCTGGTGGCCCAGTGGTTAAGTGTTACTGGCTGCTAAACAAAAGATCCACCAGCTGCTCCTTGGAAACTCTATGGGGCAGTTCTACTCTGTCCTGTAGGGTCGCTGTGAGTCGGAATTGACTCGACTGCAAAGTCGTTTTTTTTTTTAATTTACTTTGCGTAGCAAAAAAGTAATGAGTCCAACTCACTTTTGCAAAAATAATGCAGGTTGGTATTTAACAGTTATAGGTCTTCTACGGGAGCCCTGGTGACACAGTGGTTAAGAGCTTAGCTCCTTACCAAAAGATCAGCGTTTGGAATCCAAGAGCCCCTCCTTGGAAACCTGCCCTGTAGGGTCGCTATGAGTCAGAATCGACTTGATGGCAATGAGTTTTTAATGAGTTCTTCTATGGCACTTCTTTCTGGTTCAAATAACCATGCATTAACTCTTGCCATTGCATGTTACTTAAATTTTATTTGATTACATAGAACGAAAACAAAGTTAATGGTTTGGATAAACAAGATTAATAAACTTAAAAATATGGAATACTTCATGAATTTGCGTGTCATCCTTTCACAGGAGCCATGCTAATCTTCTCTGTATCATTCCTGTTTTAGTATACATGCTGCCAAGCATGCATTTAAAATCTTACTTTAGATAAATAGGAAGGCAAATGGAGATATTCTTTTTAAAAAGAAAGTCATTTTGATATCTGAGATTCTCATATGCCTCAGATATTTTTATGAATATTGACCATATGAAACTCAGGAACAATACTTTGGCAATCCATCTATGTGCTATTTAAAGTGTTGGGGCCTGTGTTACAGAGGTAAATGAAAAGCTTCTTTTACTAACATGGAATTCATTAATTTTCTGTGGAAAAAATGTTTCATTAAATTGCTTTTCTAATGGATACCTAATTTGGATTATAATGTTTGGTCTGTAGCTGATGCACAACAAGAAAAAGTTTCTTTTGATAAATTTATTTAGTATTTTTTTCTTAACCTTATACAGACGTGTTAGTAAAATAAAGGTGAAGTTACTGATCAATTTCTGTGAATCTTAGAATATATATATATATATATTTTACCATTTACTATATAGGTGATTTTCAAATAGACAAGCTTCCAAATTAGATGCCTTATCCACAAGATGGTGTCCTAGCATTAGCAACCAATAAGTTGAGCTTGCAAACAGAATTGACTTTACTTCGCAAAAATGTTTTTCAAGTTGAAAATGCCAAGTACCCGTGCATAAAACTAATTACTCCTTGGCCTGTGGTTTTGTGCAAAATGTACTTGGGAAAATGTATTATTCAACTCAATTTGATTAACTCTCTTTGTTGTAGATTTGTATTTATTTACGTTAATGCTACAGTGGAATAGGTAGTTCATTCACTTCTAATTTAGCTAAAACAAGGAGGAAAACTGTTTTCCTTGCAAATCACAACGAATTTTCAAATGGTACAATAGCTGAACTTTGTGTGATATACATTTTATTGTATGTCAGTAGAATACACTTAAGAACATAAGATTTTTATCATGGATTCTATTTGTATATAGTTTGCTGTTGAAATCAGAGATGGTAGCACATAGCTAATTTTGTATCTGACCAAATTTAAATTTTAAAAATGATAAGTTGTAGGTTGGTTTTGGAACTGAACACCATTGTTTTCTGCTTTCAAAAAGCAACATTTATTCCTGGAATTCTGAGAAACGTCTGGTTCTATAATAACTCTTACTAGGTTGTCACTGAGTTTTGAACACATGAAGAGATTTTCTAATAACAAACCCTAGGAGAAAAGAGGTTAGATGCATTCTATTACTTTTAAGAGAGTCTGAGTAAAAAAGGAAATTGTTTCAGATAAAATTTAGACTGATAATATCCTCTATTTTGAATTTAAAACTATACTTAAAAGAAATTTAGGTTTGCTTTATAATAGGAAGTAGCACTTTTCTTTTAAAAAGATGTTTCCTATTTTTGTTGTCTCCATTTCGACCATGCCATGAGTTGTTTAGCAAGAGTATTTTTGAGACTTTTCTAGATTTTCGTCCTGAAAAAGTATGTTCATACTAAATCACTCAGCAATGTCAGAGGGCAAGAAAGAGATACATCAAAGTGGGATATGCAGAATTACTCCATAAGTTATTCTCTTGCATTAGTAGTACAAATGTGAATTTTATAGCACTTTGGAAAGAAATCTGGCATAACTATTAAAATAAAAAAAAGAAAAAAAATTCTTGAACTTACTCCCACTTTTGGAAACCTATTCTGCAGAATACCTACCAATAGATAAGGGCATATGTACAATGATGTTTCCTTTAGCATTGTTCATGGAAGCCAAAGGAAAACACAACAAAACTGTAAACAAAGTGAATGTCATGAAAAGATGAATAATTGGATACATTATGTTATGTACACATCATGCAATAATTTGGCCACAAAAAGAATGATATAAAGCTATAAAAACTGTATCAGTTGTCCTAGAGGAATTTATACAATGTATTGTTTAGTTGGAAAATTAAGGAGTTTATAATAAGGTCCCACTTAAAGAATAAAACAGAAAATTCTTATATATTTATGATACATATATGAATGCCTGTATGTTTATGATTAAATAGTCATAGAAGGAAGCATGAGATACTTGTTTATTAACAAGTTTATTAACATGAGATTCTTGTTGAGGGCTGTCATAGTCAGTTCCCTGGAAAGCTGACTCTAACACAGAGATTGGCGTACAAGAGATCTATGGGGGTATGCTTTCAGGATCAACACTTGAAGGGAAATGAAGGAAGCTTGATTAAGCCAGGAAGAGGCTGGGCTGTGATACAAAAAAAAAAAAAAAAAAAAAAAGGCCTCAGTCAGTCCCATGGGGACATCTGCAGCTGGGATGGTCCTAAATAATCATCTCAAAAGTGGATCAAGGGGGCCTTTTTGTTCTACCACCTCTGTAAACTATCTTCATCCCTCCAACCCTCTACACTGACTACATGAAAGTAGGAATACTATGAAAAATTCATTATGTTTTACTTGGAAAAGTCTTTTTCCAAAATCTTTTTTGACCTAGTTTTCTGGACCTTTCTTACTTTCAATGTACCAAATTTTCTCTGACAACACGGAAGGGATCCAATGCTTAGTCAAGGAGAATTGAGAAGAAAGTCTAAAGATTTTATTTTGGAAGAAATAAATGGCTGATGAAGGCGCTTGTGTCTTTCTGTACACTTTTGAAAGTATTCAGGATATGGTAACTATATCCTCTCTAAAATGTTATATTTAAAGAAAAATTGATTTTGAATAAATAGGTAAACATTTTGGTAATACACTCTGCCTTAATGTATTATAGAATGGCTTTCAACTACTTTAGCGAGACTATAAATACAACTTTGTAGTTTTGATTCATTTACTGAATAGCTATCATATTCCAGGCAGTTTATTAGGCACTGAGGAATAGAAACTAAAGACATCGTGATTCAAAGCCTTGTAGGACAGACGGATGAATAAACAGGCAACCACAGAATGATAAGGGCTTTGGCATAGATGGAGTACTATGGGGATTTAATGACTACGCAAACTCAAGTCAGAAAGTGGTAGATTGAAGATGTCAGTGTACCAGGAAAGGAAATTCCTGAATTGTGGGCAGATATTTTGACAGGTGAATAGTAAAGGAGAATATCCAAAAGTAATAAAGGGCATGCAGAGAAATGCAAATCATCCAATATGTTGTAGTTGAGACTGTGAGCAATGTGGATGGGAGTGAGAGGAAAAGTATCAGGAGATCATATTGGAGAAAGGCAGGGACAGGATCACGTGACGATCCTGACTGAAAACACATGATATACTCAAACTGAGTAATTTGAAGAGAGTATAATAAAGCGAAGGAGCCCTGGTGGCACAGTGGTTAAGTACTTGGCTGTTAACCAAAGGGTTGGTAGTTCGAACCCACCATCCGCTCCACAGGAGAAAGATGTGGCAGTCTGCTTCCATAAAGGCTACAGCCTTGGAAATCCTATGGGTCAGTTCTACTCTGTCCTATAGGGTCACTATGAGTGGGAATTCATGCTATGGCAATGGGTTTTGGGATTCATAATAAAGCAGCTATTTACAAAGACAAGAGTTATGCGTTTCCACTTCAAGCCTATGACATCAAGAGTTAGAGGGGTCCTAGAACCTGCAGACAGAGGGCCTGAGCAGAGAGCTGCCTTACAGGAGGCATCCCTTCAGTGGAGGGATACCACAAGCCTGCAGTGACACAAAAGGAAGGAACTAGGAGAGTAAGTATCTTGATGGAATCACAGGGCAGGAAAACCCATTGATGTGTACTTAAAGGCCAGAATCTTGAGGCATGCAGAAAGGTGGAACGGGGTGGAGAGTGGATCTGGAGGGACAAACAGAAGATACCTTCTCTGTGTATGTGGCAGTTGCAGAACTGAAGATTAAGTAGGAGTGACTAGGTGGAGGGAATGAAGAAATTTCCAAGCAGATGGAGCAACATGGTCAAAAATTCTGTGTCAGGAGGGTACGTGGTGAGTCTAGAGACTAAAATCATGGCAGTGTGGTTCCTTAGGGTGGAAAGAGCAAAGTGCTGGGACATATAGAGGTAGCAGGAGCCAGACGATACAAGGCCTTTCATGCCAAATTGAATAATTATGTTTTTATCCCAAGGGCAATGCAAGACCATAGAAGAGTCTAGTCACGGGTAACATGATCAGATATTTGTTTTACAAAGATCACTGTCCTATTAGAGAGTAGACTGGGGCAGGGGCAGAGTAAATGTGGGAAGACAGCCAAGAAGACAATGACAGGGAGCAATGGTGGTAGCTCATACTAGGGTTCTAGTGGTGGAGATGCAGAGGGTAGGCACAATCAAGAAATATATAGGAGGTAAAAATCAACAGAACTTGGTAACAGTTTGGACATTGGGATTGAGGGAGAGGGAATTGTTAATAATAAGTATTATTATCTGACTAGATAGAAGCACTCTGTGCAAAGATTCTCTTTTCCTCTCTGGACAATGGTAAATCTCTATATTCCCATCAACTCTTCTTGGAATTCCTCATTTATTATAATACTCATTTCTTCATCTGTATTTGACTAATTTCCCTGTTTTACGTAATGAACTCATCTCCTCTTCTTACTTACAAAATCATTACCTTTTCACAGACTTCCAACCATGAGTTTCCTCCTCCAGATTCACACAGCACTTTACTTCTTCTTAACTCACCTCCTTTGGATGAAGTCTGTATGGAGTTAGTAATGGACAGAAGTAGCAAACTACAAATTAGATGTTTCAGGTCATTAAAATTCCTTCAAGTTTGTGACACTGAAATTACCCAGTTATAGTTCCATTTATTTCTATCTTACTGACGTGTTACCTTTTTCCACCAGGGTTTCCCGTTTTTCCATAGTAACTGGTTTTTTCAAAGCAACTTTTATTCTTTGTCCTTTCAAGATTACTAATATGTAGTGTTTAGCTATTTCAAAGAATCACTGGGTGGTGCAAATGGCTAACGCATTCAGCTGCTAAGTGAAAAGTTGGAAGTGTTGAGTCCACCCAAGGCACCTCAGAAGAAAGGCCTGGCAATCTACTTCTGAAAAATTAGCCATTTAAAACTTTATGGAGCACAGTGCTACTCTAA